AGGACATGGAAGCAAGAAACTGGGGGATTTTGGGGCAGGGGGGCTCAGAAAGGAACCATTCTCTTGCCTGACATCACTGCAACTTTACTATGGGGGATGACTGGTGCCACAGAGGAGAAACATGTCAAACATATTGGGGGTACACACCAACTGCTAGTGTTACACAGACCCAAAGTCATGTTGTCACATCCGGTTAGCCTCTGTTCCACTAGCTTCAGTGACTCTATGCAATCTCTCATTTAGCATTTTTTCATCAGCCTTTGTAAGAAAACTATGCGCGTTCCTCTGGAATTTCCCCCCCCCATCTTCTAAATCAAACCAACCACTACAACTCTTAGGACTAAAAACAAGGTTAAATTGTGATATTTTTTTTTAGCACAACCTTAACTGTGTGTTTCTGATACTAGTCTCACCTATCTCAACTTTTTAATTAAGAGATATGCAAGAGTTACAACCATCTCTCAACTCTGGACCTCAGTTCAATTCTCCCACCAGTCAGTCGCCATCAACTAGTTTCAGCCTTGAATTACTCCAAAATTAAAATCACATCATTTCATTCTAATAGAAGCTAAACTCATGAGATGCTAGGCGCTAATGTTACCAAAATAAACACATTAGCCTTAACCAGAAAGAACAACACCACATCTGAATCACATTTGAGCCCTTTGGCTGCTTTAAAACACTCTCCATCTCAAAAAGCCAAACCAGTGTTAACCCCAGTGTTTGCTCTTTTGTCCTACTCTCTCTGTGCAAAAGAACACGGCCTCATCAGTGTGGGTGGCTCTGTTTTGGACTTTTAGCTGCTGTTTGAAATGACTACTTTCCAGTTGAAAAACCTTTTCTTTTATAACCTTCCCTAGGTGTCAGGCGGGGCCAATGTCGGGACCTGATTTTGACAACACAATTTAGATGTGCTAGAATAACAAAAGAAAGGCTGTAGGTAAGAGAAAGTCAATGAGTCCCTTTTACACTGCCCATTTAATGAGTTTCCAGCTAGTTTTCAACATAAAAAGACACGGTATTGGCATGGGTAGTCAATGCTGACCCTCCCAAACACCACAAAGAGAGGTAGTATTTTTGCTGAGACAACTTCGATCCACCTCTTGTGTAAACAGAACAAGGTGTAATGGGGGCTTGGAGGTCCAAAAGAGAGAGAGCACAGAGGTGGTCGAGAGATCTAGGGAATGAAGGAGGAGAGGGTCAGCAAGAACAAAGCAGTTGAATGTCATGATAAGCATCACGCCTGTAGTAGCAGGGCTGCAGCAGCAGTGTAAAATGAACACAGGGGCGGCAGTTTGCTGGCTTTTTGACTTTAATGTAAAAGGGGCTTAAATCAAAAACTCCACCTTGAAGAAGGGTCAAAATGCCAGCAGTTTGCTGCAATCACTGTATAAAAGGGGCTATGGGGAGGGTTAGAACAGCAGAAACACCACATCATGCCCCATTTCCACTTCAGACAATGTGTAAAATCGAAGTTAATACCTGTTTAACAACAGTGGATGATGAAATTTTGTTTCTGGATATATGGTTAAGACAATGGATAATGCAACGTAAATGTCATCACTGCATAACCAATCACCAGTAAGTTAGTGGTCTGAAATTATAGACATTACATAAGTACATCTTGGTGTCAGAGTCTCAGAACAACAATTCTGCAGTACAGAAATGGCAAATATGTTTGTAGTAGCAAAATGTGTTGCCATTACATAGTGCAGCCACAAAAGTTACTTAACTGGCTGACAGAAAAACGGTGACAGTCATTTTGTTAACTGATTAATATTTTGAGTCTTTCGTTATGAAAATATTTCAAAATTTTCTGGGATCCATTTCTCTCAACTGTTAATATTTTCTGGTTTGCGGTTCCGTCTGCCAGTACCGCACGCCTCCTAACAGTGGGGCTCAACTCCACAGACACACACAGAGCGGACAGCAGCTAAGAGGCCACTGTGCAAAGAGGCTGAGTAACTAACAAATTAACAACACCTACACTCAGTTCTGCAACTTGAATAAAAGCTAGGCGAGTACAAATCCAGTAAGTTGTCTTAAAACACCTGCTAAACGAGCAGACACTTGCAGAGATGTGATTAATTTCAGCTTTGCCAGCAGCCTGCCATCCATAGCAAGCTTGTTAGGTTAACAGCTAATAGCTAACTGTTTAGATGTGGCTGTGTTGTAGTGATCAGATGGTAGGGTCCAGTCTGGCTCTGTGTGGTTTTATCGCCCTCACATCTGTCTCCCTCCACAAACTATGGTCGGTTCAGACCCGCTCTGTCCTCCTGCTTACAGTTCATGTGTTTGTATCACCATTAAACACTGAGGCAGCAGCAGTGGACTGCTGCTGACTTACTTTACATAAATAACACAGTAGTAAAAAAAGCAAAGTCCAAATCCAAATGCTTCAAACAGTTGTACAGGCAACAGAGAGGAGGATACTTGTTAGTGTGTTCACTCAGTTTTATGGTCATTTTGAGACTGGAGCTACTTTGTGGCTGTAACTGTGGACCATCATCTAAAAAGCTGTTTCTGATACAGCTTTCCTTCACAAACTACAGCAATACAAACTATATAGACTCTGTAACTGAACTGGGTAAATTACAATTAGATTAAATCATTAAAATTATAGAAATATAATTTATGTACAGTTATCTCATGTATATCCTACAAACCAAACACTTTAACCTCTGTCTACTGTAACATTACACCCTTTTTGTAAATGTGTGCTTTTCTCTTTAGTGATTTAATTCCTTAAACCCCCTACCACCACCACCCACCTACCCAAAAGAGGAGGCAAGAACCGGACTATGGATTTGGTGAGTCACTATACCCCTATATTAAACAATATCTTTGGTTTTGTACCATTTATCAGACAAAACAATATTTGAAGATGGCACTCAACTGCAATGACCATGCATGCTAAAAAAAATGAATGTTACTGCACCATATACCATTCTGATTTTTTAAGCACTCAAATATCAGTTTCAGCCTCAAAAATCCAATATGGGTCTTGCTCTATTCCATAACAATAAGATTAGAGATGTTCTGAATAGTGACAAAATTTAATTGTGACTATGGCTTTCAGAGGACAGAGAAATCCGATACCCATATCTATGTTAAATAATATATTTTAAGATAGGAGCAAGATCCAGGAATACTGATCAAAGCTGGCTGTTTCTGAACATTACATTAAGACGTAATAGATTATACAGTCTCAGAGGTGATATTTCCAAATGACCTTGCATTAGGTAATTTCAACTTAAAAGTGACAAGAAAAAACATTTACTTTAGCATCTGTGTTACTCTCAGTGCTTGCCAAGAGGTGTTTGTCTTCCGCTGTTATTTTTTTTGCCTTCAGATCTCTTTGACCTCCCTGAGCTTCACCATATTCATATTATGCTTTTTGTCACTTTAAAGCAGCGCTGGTGTCATGGCAAAGTGTGTGTGTGTGTGTGTGTCCCCACTGATTTTGTTCCTTCCTGACCAAAATGTGAGTCTAATCTCAAAACAAATGCCAACCTGCCAAACTGTTAGGGCTAAGGCTAGGTTTAGTTCAAACACCAACTCCCATCATCTGTGACCCTAACCATAACCTTATATTTATGATGATCTAAATCAAGACATATTCCAAGACTGCAGACAGTAACACTTTGGAGATACAGTTTTAAAAAGGAAAAAAAAAAGGCCATCTCAAGATACATGTCACACCATATTCTGTGACCTGATTAAAATTTAAGATATATTAAAGTGTTCACCATGGTCACATTTTGTAGTATTTATAGCTGTTATCAAAAGTAGTGATGGTCACAACTATGAAAGTATGACCCATTTACACAGTGTAGGTAGACTCATCAATTGTGATGGCTTAAAAACCTGTCTAATAGTGGAACTGTAATTACTCAGTTAATTGACTATTCAAATAACAAATTAGTCTATCAACAGAAAAATTATCTGCAACATTTTTGATTTGGTAATTAAGTCATAATGAGTCATTTTAAACAAAATGCCAAAACCTCTCTGGCTGCAGCTTCTTCAGTGTAATACCAGTCAAAGTGTTAGATCACTAAACTTATCTTTGGGTGATTAAAATAAAAATCACACTTCTGAGGACATCAGGGGCTCTGGGAAAATGTGCTGGGCATTTTCTACTTTTATTTATGGACCAAAAGCACAGATTGCTAAATAAACAGCTTTTAGATCAACCGATAATGAAAATAATAGCTGTTGCTCTATGCAGGAGTGTATACAGATGTAACTAACAACACCCACACATATCCAAACTGGTAGCCGGAACACATTTGTACCCCAGTGGCATTAATCGCCCCACATACACTACATGCACATCCACCTAACTGCAGGATATAACATCGTAAACTATCGCCCTCATCCTCCTTTCTACCTACTCACATGACAGCAAACAGACAGATTATACCTCCACATAAACCAAAACCACAACTACAGTAAGCCTATAATAAAACTTAGGCTACACCTTAACTAGCGGTTAAACATATATATAAAAAAAAATCACGATAATTCTACACGCGATTTAAAAAAAAGTAGAGTTCAAGCCCCGTGGGTGCCTACAGGAATGTTAGGTTACCGTACATTTCCTGAAACTAATACATGATTGAGACTGTGCAGCACGTTGTATGACTAACCAGTGTTGTGATTAATACATACAAACCCGTCAGGGTCAAACGGGGGTTGTACAGTAGGGCCAGAAACAACGTTAAAGCAGAGGTTCAGTTTGCGCCATAGTGCAGCTCCTAATCAATACCATGCGCACAAATCACGGAGGCTAAACGTCTCAGCGTCAACCTAACCGTCGGACATTCAACTCGCCTCGGCCCTATAACCGTTAGTAGAACCCAGTGTGGACGTTACCTCTGAAAAAAATCAATCAAATCGACAACCAAAACTCGCTTTTACCCATCAATATACTAGACTGTGTACATAGTGTAGTTAGGCCAAATGAATGATAGCTAACCCGTGTTGCAAGTACTTACCGGGATGACAGTCTTTGTGTTTGGGCAAGGTTAAAAACATTAAGGATAAAATCCACCAGTAACTCGGTTCCCGTATTCTCCGCATGTTAGACTACTCATCGAGGGCAACAAGAAGGCAACGGGTGACAAAGTTTTGAGTCTTTTCACCTCTTTAAAAGAAAATAACACACGCGACCGAAGCTAGAACGAAGTTGACACAGCAGCCACGAAGACAGAGCATCAATGTAATGGTTAGCGGTTAGGCTACAGAGTCTCCGCTTGTTTAAAAAAAAAAGGACTAATTTATTCGCCTACAGCCCGAGCAGGGGCTGTTTTTAGCTTCGAGGAATAAAACGGTACGCACACCACGGCTGTGAAAAAACAGTTCAGAATCTGTCGGACTCCATCGTGCCTGTAGCGGGCTTCGAGATAGCGACATTCCCGAAGTGTGGAGGGGGTCAATCGGCGATCAATCGCTCTCTTTAACTACAAGGAAAAGTGGTCGAATAATATTGATCACACGTGGTCATTATTAAGTGATTATCCGCGGTGTCAGCGTGACGAAGGGCAATGCACAGTGCGAAGAAAAGTGGTGCTGGAAATATCCCATTCTTCCATCCAGGAAGTAGACTAGCGGTCAGGCGTGCATGCATGGATATGTGGCTGCTGGTCCCATCCTACCGGACAGGCTGCCTGTGAGAAGAAGGAGCCCGCACGGGGCGGGAGCAGCGGAGGGAGGGGAAGCGGTTCCTGGATTTGCTGAATGCAAAATGACTCGGAATGGATCCAGAGGCTGGTTTATGTCTATGGTGCTATGATAAGGAAGACTCCAAAAATCAATGGTCCATGTCAGATTGTCAAGTCACCAAGTCCAGACTGGATTCCCACCTCTTTTAAATGTTGCATCAAACATGATGAAATCCTGTTACTGAACACTGAGCATTATCTAGCTGAGGCCAGAATCTACAGTGGATTGAAGCCTTGTTCAAAAGGAGGAAAGATAAAATAGTCTCCCTGCTAAATCCTTTGATTTCAACCCCCATCCTGTCATCTCAGTGTTTTGTTGCTTCCTCCCAGGCCCAGTTATTAAAATGACCCTCCTGTGGCCACACCGTGATGTCCCTTTGCCTCCTGCTGGCAGAACTGTGAATGGAATACTTTAGCAGTAATCATCACCTGGAATATCATCATGTATGAGTGTGTACTGATTGGAGAATTATGCATCCACCGGCAACACTCCCTTAGGTAAATGTGTAGTCAGTGGTGTTCTTGCAGAACTATCCAGCTGGACATTTAATTTGAGGAATCTGATTAAATTTCTCATTTAATTACCCAGTTCTCTGCAGGGCCATTGAGGACAGTCACAAGGGCCCTTTGCTTTTAATGCGGGCCATCTGCTTCCTCTCCAAAATGCCTACCTTTTTAAAGCCCCCCTCAGCCTCGTGGGCATCTTCGCACAATCCTCCAGGCTGCACTACGTCCTTACATGCTGTAAAAACACCACCATTGTTGACGATACTCCAGATCTGACTGTAGTCCGACTGATCATATGCAATTAACCTGAACAAATGTTTCTGAACACTCTTCAGTTTTGTTCCCTATCTTGTTCTGTCAGGCGACACAACAGGGTTGCACTTTGATCAGTCATACAGACATGATCGTGCAATGTTGAGCAACAGCCTCAGTGCACAGACCCTTATGTGCAAGTGAAAAAATTGCCCAGATCAATAAAATGCCAGAAAGGTATGTAAATAACCAAATACAGTTAGCTGTAAGTCATATTAGTTGTAAAGTGTATAAATATATGCAAATGTTATCAGTATAACACAAGAATAATGTAATTTTGACACAACTCCAGCTCCACTTGCTAGTTTTTTTCCAGAGCTTTCAACCACATCTTATCAGTGAGTGAGGTTTTCTCATGTTATACATATTATAAGAAACTTTATCAACAACTACTCTGATAATCAGTTAATTGTATTAGTCTTTTAAGTAAAAATGACAGACATTGCTCAGCATCTTTCAGCTTCTTATCTTTGAGGAGTTCCTGTGTTTCTTTTTCTTATATGATTTTACACTGAATATGTTTGGCTTTTAAGGTCTGTTGGTGGGACAAAACAAACGATCTGAAGATGTCACCTTGGGCTTTAGATGCGCATGTTCTTGTATTTTAAAGACCAAACAATTAATTGATTGATTAAAAAAGAAATCTACAGATTAGCCGATAAAGGAAATAATCAGAAGATGCTCTAATGTTATAGATAAACCATTACCACTGCAGTAGTCCTGCAGTGTCCTTATCAATACTATTTCAGCAAATCACTTTTCATGTAGTGGAATATGGATCCTCTAAATTGAAAAAAAAAAACCTGTACCATCAGCAGTCAGTGTAAACTTAATTAACAGAGTCTAAAATTAACATGTCATCATAAAATATATGGTAGTAATTTAACCCTTAAGCCACAATTCTCCACACAGCCAGGGCCCTTGATTTCTTTTGTCTTTTGCAAAACACTGCCTTCAAGCTGTTTCGAAATCAACCGTGACTTGATCCAGGCTTATAGCTTTAATAAAAAGGATGTAAGTGTTCCACAGTGCTTTTTTCCCCAGTGAATAGCATGCATATAACAATAAAGTAAACCAAATGGGTGACATGTTCTCCATGATAAATTTTAACTTGAGAGTATTAAAAACAAGATGCAGCTAAGGAGTTCTTCATCAGATGAGTGTTTTTTCACTTGTAGAGTCATTCTGTGGTTGCATCTCAGCCCCTGTTGAAACCCAATTTTCTCCTGAACAGTGACACTTATTAGCCTCCGTGCATACACTACACAGTGGTTTGTATAACATGTGAAAAAGAGTACAGGCAACATATTATAATTAGCAATACAGTACTGTAATGCTTTATGGATCCCAACCTGCAAGTCTGACAAATGCTCTCAGATGAGGCTGCACTAATTTGGCCAAGTCGTGTCTTTCCATGCAGAGCTACCACTCTTTTCTCCTCTCCGATGTATAAAAAAAAAAAAAATCTGCCAACACTGAGTAAATGAGTCCTGACCATTATCTTAACAGTATCATAAAACTTCATGCCAAGATGTTGAAAAATCAAAGAAGCCCAAAACTACCCTCCACTTGCCACTATATTTCTTTGCAGTTTCTAGTAGTTTCATGAGGCATTTGTAATGTGTTCTGTGACATTTGACATTCTAATCTTTTTCACCCTTTGGGAATCGAGACCCTAAAGGCATCCTAACACTCTCTCTGACAGTTAAATTGTGTTTCAGATTTAAAAAGAGAGATAGACAGAGAGAGAGGAAAGCTGAGCTATAAATGATTCATGTGAGTCCACCCATAACACCAGCATTGTCCCATGGGCATCTATCTCCTCTTTGCCCTTAAGTGGTTTAAGAATCACACTTGTATTATTTTTTTAAACACATTTCACATGTTGACAGTTGGTGCATAATGCACGACTGTGTGCATCAATTATGTAATGCAATTCAGGCTATGACTATATATAATTTATTTGATTCTCAACCCTTTACATAATTCAATCAAAAGCTATTTTTACCATCATTACTCTCCCCAAGTAGTTTCATCTTTTGTTTTTCTGTTCTTTAGTTCCTCCCATCACTGTGTCATATTTCTGCACTAAATCTACCCTGCATTAATGCTTCAGGAGGGTGTCACAGGCAACTGTCTGTCAAGGCAGGACAACCTTAAAAAAGGATAGCACTCTGAAACCGCAAAGAGAGGCTCAAAAGAAAGCCTCTAGCAAGCCAGTAACAGTTTTTTGGTCTCTTTGTTTAAAAAGCCTCTGAAAGTAAATTGTAAAAGACATGGGATGCCCTCCAAGATCACAATTAATGTTAGCAAATGTGATTTATCTGTCCAGTGGCTTTCTTGCCAACTAATCCCATATGAAAAAAGAAAACAAAAATAAATAAAGAAAGGTTTTGATATATTTCCACAGAACTACAATCTAAAAAAATGGTGCTCATCTTTTCATGGCTACGCTGTTTCTGAAGCCCATTTGCTGAACCTTTAATTGTCCCAGTATCAAACAAAGCAGCGTGGCTATGGGACAACGAAACTATGGCAACAACTGACTTTTGAGCTAAATGATTACGTGAAGGACCATACCGGTCTTTTGCATGTTGTATCCCATTTACCAGAATCAAATTCATTTGACAGTACTGCCAACCATTTTGGGGGCGTGTTTAGTGCTTTCCTGGCAGCCTCTGGTTTCATCCAATTTCTTTATGGAATGACAGACAACTTAATCCATTAAAAAGAACATTATGTCTGATTTTATTTCTGTCAAAGTCATATTATGTTGTGCTGAAATGCATGGAGAGACTCGAAAAGCCTGCCCGTGTGATGCCTTCATGTGCCATGGGAAGCCAGATGAACAGGATTGCATTCATGACTGATGCTGATAGAAACCTATGAAAACAATCAATGAGCAAATCTGGTGCTTGCAAAAGAAAATGTGAATTTTATAGGTTTTCCACAGCCAGTTTGAGATATTCTATTGTTTGTCCACATGATTCCTTTTGATGCTTTAGTGTTGGAATTTTGCTTTTACAATCATGCATCAAAACAGCATTTGAGAACAGAAGGGTATGGATAGCAGTAATAGTCAAACCAACATGATTCCCTGAGAACAGATGGGAACCTCTCTGTTTCCTGTGGATATAGGAATATATGATTGCTGATGTGCTAACACAGCACTGTTGCTTGTATTGTGTGAAGGGCAGTCTGGCAGTCAGCGTTTAAAATGAATAGCATGAAATTCTGCCCTTCTTGCAATTGAAACACTCTGTTTCTCATTTTTACAGTTAGTTTTAAAATCATTAATCATACCGATGTTTCATATACACAGATTACTTAATTCACCAAAGTGATACAGTACTCTCAAATGCAGAGAGGCTTCGAGAGGCTATGTCATTGCAGCTGACCTAATTTTTGAGGATAGAGAATAATTTTCTGTAATATAGAGATAATGAATGAAACGTGGAAAGTTTCAGATTTGGGCGGTCAATATCAGATAAAGGAAATTCAAGCAAAAGAAAGCGAGAGTGGGACAACGAGTGAGAAAAAGAGTTGTGACTTGAATGATTTGAGGCTGTAGTAGTAACTATCTGAAGCCAGTAGAGGGTGTCTGCAAAATTCATGCTGTCATTAATCACTGCAGTTGTTCAAACCACCGAGGACCATCAGTGAAGCCCCTGAAGAATGTAATAGATTCATTTGTCACAGAAGCGCAACGAATCCCGGCAAAGAACTTGGGTAGATGATTTAATAGCCAAGAAATCCAGAGTATAGAGTCAACATGTCAGTGTATTTACTATGGCATACTGAAGCCATCATAATTTACATCAGCGTATAGAAGTGTCACACAGTGGTTGTGCTTCACTGGTAACCACTGGTAACGGCTTTATAAACAAAGGGACCACTGTGTGTAAAATAAGGTGAAACATGCAGTAAAAACAACATATTACGTTTGATTGTGACTTATTTATACAGTATTTTTGAGCTGGGAGTTTGTTTGCTCAAGATTTCAACACATAGCAACCATTTTGTTACACGGCAACTGCATCCTTTCTCCAATGTGAAAAAAAATAGGCATCTCAGAATATTCATTTGTGAAATAAAACATCAGTATTTTTTTTCTTTTACAGATAATTTGTACCAGGATCAGCATAGCTCAGGGATCAATTTTCATTTCCCTTTCAACAACTTGCATTAATTTACAATTCACAGAGGACTGTTGGAAGTTATCACCATTTGTCAAATGATGTGAAACTGCTGGAGAAAAACTAAGAGAGGAATAACAGAATATTTTTTGAATTGCTCAAAGAATTTGCATGCAGACATGGATCATCTTCAATTTAATTAATTCATATGCTCACTAGAATGGAGACAAAATGGTGATATCCTGTAGGATACTGAGAAAGAGGAGAAAATAACACTGATATGGTTTAAAACTACATTTTGTCTTTACACAAATGATGTAATTTCTCACACTGACTGTTTTTTAATGATGACAGTGACAGTAATATGTTCTGGCTGCTGCATCTTGGTCATCAACGCAGGTTTGTGTTTCATCATTAAGCCTGCTTTTATTTGCTGTGGGATCCCCACTGTTTGTAAAATAGATTAGAACTTGACTCATTGTTAAATTAGAGGATGCTTTTATATCCTTGCTCTGATTGAAAAGAGCAATGACAATCCTTAAAGTCCCCTCACGTCCATGGCCATTAAAATTAAAATACTTCTGACTTTCGTCAATAATTCAGGAGTCGCTGCATTTATCTCACTCCTGGCACTGGCTGGGATCTTTTTAGGTGGAGAGCAACTGCTAGAGCTGGCAGATGTTTGGACACATGGCCACACGGCGCTGAAGAAAATAAGCTGTCAGAGTAATGCATCCTGATAAAGGAAATCAGCTTGTCAGCACCGCAGCAGAGAACTGCCTCCTCTGTGTCGCACACCACATCTCTTAACATGATTTGAGCATGATATCCCACATAAGTGTTTAAGCTTGTGGCTCTGCTTAAGCAGTCTTTTGTGTTAGTTTACAGTTATGCACATTAAGTTTGAAGATCCTCAGAGCTTTCTTGTTTTAACTTCACATTGTGTACTTTATCTAATCCAAAGCCTCCCACAAACATCAGGTGCAGGGTCTTCTTGTACACAGTTTCATTTAAAAAAAAAAGTCTCCACTTGCATGCATAATTTAAAACCAATATAAACACCAAAATCACACATGACATTGAATCTCATCAGTGAACTTAAATTTATTCCAACTCTAATTAAATCTGCTGAGATATGTAGCTAGTGTTGGCCTGATGCAGAATTTCATTATAATAAACAAGGGCATATTTTTAACCTTTCAAGTAGAGATAGCAGTGAGAGAAATTCTATTTCTCAACATTTTTTGTGCCCCTTTTCAGCTCAATTAAATTTATCATTCTCAATCAGGTGCTTTTACTTTTAGAGGACTTCCATTAACCAGAGGACCTGACACACTTTTGTTCTGTTATGGTTTAGTCCCCCTCACCAGGAGGGTGAGGGAGAACTGGGGTTGGACTCAAGATGGCTGACCCAGGTGCTAGTACAAAAAAGGTGGTTTAATGGAATAAAAACAACATGACAACAAAACAGGGTCCATAATACATACAACAAGGGAAGGGCAGTGATGACTAAGGAGACCAGGACGGTAAACACACAAACTAACGACAGGAACTAGAATAGCAGGAGGATGAGAACGGACAGGTGAACAAAAAGAACCAACGTACACAATGCAATCCACAGCACAGGGACTGTCAGCGTGGAAGACAGCATG